TTGTGGAGGAAGTTTATCTTCCCTCAGCTTTTGCATGTTTAAAATGGATATTCCTAAAGGAATATCACTGTATGTTTGATATTTGGAAAGGTGGAGTTGGTTTTATTGGAAAGGGACGAGAGGAGGTAGAGGAAAGTCATGCTTAGGGTCATAAAAGCTTATTCTTGGTGCAGGATCACTCACTGGTTTGGGAATTTCATGTTTCTTTCCTCTTGTTAATATGCAGGTCATCTCTAAATGGGAACATAGGGCGGCAATAGGAGGCCCCTGTTTTTACTGGTAAGTGCACCTCGACTTTCTTCTCTGTTCTTGGGATATTAACTTAGGAAATCTATAATCTCATTAACTGTGACAAATGGCATTATCATCAATCTGTTTAAATTTGAAGCCATAGCTCAAATGATTAATTTTTGAGTTTCTCTTCATGAAGTTTAGATTTAGAGCAACTGATTAGCAACTGGTGTTGTAATGTAAGGCCTTTAAATGAAATACTCAAAATTCCAGATTTATCCTAAATTTAGAAGTCCAAACTTGTATTTCAGCTCCTCTCTCCTTTAAAAAACATTTTTTACAGAATCTGGGCAAAGAAATGGAGCATATCTGACCATACTGAAGTATAAAACATTCTAAACTCTAACCTAAATCGCAGATAACTTTCTTAATGACCCAATAATATATAGTAACATAAAGAGTGAAATGAACTTTTGAAAGTGAAAATCATAGCCCTAGCACACTGACAATAAACATGCTTTAAATCTATATATATACCAACAGGCCAACTGGACCACTTCAGCCCTATGAAGGGAAGTCCCTGGGAATTTCAATTTCTGAAATGTTTTTGTTTGTTTTGGGAACTGAATCTGCACCAGAATGGTATCAATGACCTCACATTAATGTGCCGTCACTAAATTCCTTTAACTCAGACATGCAACATGAGAGTGGTCCTGGGACTTTTGAATTCATTACAGCATGTACATAGTGTGGCAAAACCCTGGGCTGACTGGAACATTTATCAGTTTCTTTTCTTTGTTGTTCTGGGTCCCAGACCTCAGGAGAATGGGAGAATGTTGTCCCAGAGGACTTGCTCAGTGTTTCATCTCTATAATTATATGCAGAATGGGGCAAAATGTAATTTTCTGTCTATGTATTTTCAATGAGCAGTATTAAAAATAATGGTCAGTTTTACCAAAATGTCCATACATGTGATGACTCATTCCGTTTCTGAACCTATAAACCACTTAAAAATCATTCAAAAAATTGTTTTCTCTGTAGAACTAATTATTCAATGGGTTGATATGGGCCTTCTTACCTTTCTCCTGTAAGAGGGTCATCCAGTTGAGTATGTGAGATCCTGAGATGTCTCAACAGGACTTATGGTAAGAAATAGCTTTACTGATTTCTCATTGGCAAATGATCATGAAATGTGGAGAAATATCTGAGATCTTTGTCACTGTTTAGAGCCACTCATGTCATAAGGCTACAACTGGAATACAGATGGGGTGTAGGATCTTATTTATGTTAATAGTAAATCAGCAGAAGCCTCTCTCAGTCTATGTATGAAACTAGTGTGAT